TGTCATCGCCCAGGGTCCTCAGGGTCGAACCCCTGTTCTGCTTCCTGTTTTGGTTCCAGGGTGAGAGGTGCCCAAGAAGGGCCTGGTGTAAGTTTCCAGGGGTGTGCATGGCAGCTCTGACATCTTTCAAGATTTACAGCCCAGCATCGACTTGGGCTTGGGGGCACAGGGTGACAGAGAACATCATGATTTTACTCTGGCAACCAAGTGGACATGGAACTCTAGGTGTGAGTGGTTTCATTCCTTAAGATCCAGTTATGTTCAAAAAAAAAAAAGAAAACCAGGCATGGCAGCGTGCACCTGTAATCCTAGCACTAGGGAGGCTGAGGCAGGAGGCCAGCTATATGTTCAAGGCCAGGCTGGACTGCATGGTGAATTCAAGGCCATGATGATTTCAAGTCTGAACTATATAGCAAGACTCTGACTCAAAAAGCCAAACATAAATAAATAGAGCAAAAGATGTAGCTTACTGTAAAGGCCTGGGGTCCAATCCCCAGTCCAAAACTCAAACACAAAACAGTTCCCCACTTTGGGGTTTCTAGAGAGATACAAGGAGGAAACACTGGAAAGCACTTGGCACATATATGCTCAGGACCCCCATGCCCTAGACGGGGAATACCTGTGCAGTGCCATCCGTGGTAACCCGGTAAGACCGAAGGCCAGGATCTGTGCCACCACACGGGTTCTCACACTCGGGAGCCTGTTCTCTCAGAGCCCTACCAGTGGGTGAGTAGCATCCCTCACCAGACCCCGAGACCTTGAGAAACCTGCCTTTCACAGACTGCCCCAAATACTCTGCAGAGAGGCAGGCAGAAATGACAACGATATAAATAACAAACACTTTGGAGCACTTAGCCACGTCCCAAGTGCCAAGAGAGATGCCTCACATCCATTTGTCTGTACTGGGGATGAACCAAAGGGTTTTCACACTGAGCTACACCCTTAGCCCCTTTTCAACTTTGAGACAGGGTCTCACGGGGTTATTAAATTGCCCAGGCTGGGGCTGAACTTGTGATCTTCCTGCCTCAGCCTCTCAGAGTGCTGGAGTTACAGGTGTGGGACACCATAGGTTATCTTCAACATCTTTAGAATCAAAATTGTGTATAGAACCCATGACCTTCCAGAATGCCAGGTCCTGGCTGCAGTACGTGTAGGTCTAAGTGGCTCCCCAGGACCGCTTAGTTATTAAGCACAGGAGCCAGGCACAGGAGGGCCAGGTAAATGCCCTAGGCCGCTCTCACAGCCTCTATGTAGAACAAGCCTGACCCCAACCTCAGCTTGTGTGGCCTTAGGAGAAACCACGACCTCAGGTATCATAGATCGGGCAGCAAGCGGACACTCAGGGGACTCAGAGTCACACGACCCGGCTAACAGTGCCCAGCAGTGTCCACACCACATCACAGCAACCCAGCAGCAGCACACACAGGATAGAGGTCCAGGAAGCTACTGGAAGTTGCTCGGAGAGTGTGAGAAGTAAGGAGGAAGAGCAGGCATGCATTAAACTGAGGCTGCAAATAATGATTCAGGACAGAGAAATCAGGTCAACAGCAGGTCCGAGTTTCACGACTAGGCGTGGTGCATTATACGTTATCAGCCGGATTTTCTTGATACATAGGAAAAAATGACTAGCTCAGTGTGGCGGCACATGCCTCTGATCCCAGCACTCAGGAGGCTGAGTCAGGAGAATTACTGAGATTTCAAAGCCAGCCTGGACCGTACAGTGAGATTTGTCTCACAAAGCACCCCCACCCCCAAGACAGGACAACCGTGCCACAGCATTAACGGCGGTGGCCTCACAGCAGTGGGATCAAGGCTGACGCTTTGCTTTCATTTTTTACCTACTTTGCATCGTTTTATAATTTTCTCAACAGGTACAGCGGCTCGTGCCTGTAATCCCAGCACTCTGCGGGGCTGAAGCAGAAGGATCTCAAGTTTGAGGGCAGCGTGGGCAACTTAGCAAGATCCTCTCTCAAATAAAAAGAGCTGGGGGTGTAGCTCAGTGCTAGGGTACCCCTGCTTTGATCCCCAGTGCTGCCAAAAAAAAAAAAAAAAGGATTCAAGCAGCACATGCTGTAGGTGCAGTAGAACCATAAAGCTGTCTATTTATTTACTTATGGTTTTGTTTTTAGACAGGGCCTCGCTGTACCTTTCAGGCTGGCCTTGAACTAACTGCATAGCCTAGGCTGGCCTTGAGCACACCACAGTCCTTAGCCTTGCTGGTGCGGGATTACAACACACCACCATGCCAGCTCAACAGTTGTTTTATAAAAACCCCTTTTCAAGTCACACTGCAGTTAGCAGGAGTGGGTACTGATGCTTTCAGAAGTCAATTTATTTATCTAGCACACAGACCAGCAGTCATTCGACAGATTGTGGTGGGTGCCTGCTGCTGTTCTGGGAATGTGGCGGGCTGGGAGCAGGGAACAGACAGCTGGTCTCCGTTCCCAGCCTCCCTCTTAACTGGGTGTGGCCATGTGAGGAAATTTCACCCACAGGACCTGAATGGAGTGCACAAAAATCCACCTCACTATTCATCCCCAGTCCAGAAACAGACCACTGCCAGGACTCACAAGCGTTTGTGCCTCCTCTCCAACTTCTGCCTTGTTTTAGTTTGCTTCCTGTGCTGTCACAAAAGGCCTGAGACTGGGTGCCTTAGGGAAAATACAGGTTTTGTCAGGTCTGGTGGTGCAGGCCTAGAATCCCAGCATTGTGGGAGGCTGAGGCAGGACAATCACAAGTTGGAGCCCAGCCTGGGCAATTTAGAGACTCAGCCCAACAGTGTGGAGCCAGGATCTGCTCAGCTTTTGGGGTTGGGGCAGAGCCCAGCATGACTATAATCTCCAGCCCCAGAAGGCTGAAAAACTCACTCCCTGGAGAAGAGCACAAATTCATCTTAAAACCTGGTCACCACTTCACCCTGAACTGCTGCGGGTCTCTCAGTAGCCTCGAACTCATGGCGCTCCTCCTGCCTTGGTCTCCCAAGTGCTGATATTACAGACAGGTACCCCACACCTGGCCCGATCGCTTCTCAGAGCTCCATCTCTGCACATGCAGTGACACCTGTGGCTTGTGTGTTTTAATGGGAAGCACTGGGTTATACTATTAAATTCATCTCATCAAGAAGCCTTTATTAAGGACCTAATTTGCAGACTGTACTATAGGAAGAGCTGCATGATTAATAGCAAGGGAACAAATAGTACCACTCAATGCAGTCTATTTCCTCATTGGACCCATTGCCGACAGCCACTGCCTCAGCCCCAATAACACAAGAAGGAGCCAGATGAAGTTCAGTGATGGTCTAGTGCCAATCCCAACAGGACAGCCCTTTTCCAGTTATGGAGGAGGCAGCATAAGAGCTCTAATCTAGAGTTCATTGGGACCAACTCTTCTGTCTTTATGGATCAGCCGGCTGAGGTCCAGAAAGGCTGAGACAGCTACCCAAGGTCACACAGCAGGCGGTAACTCATAGCACATGCTTCAGAGCTCCTCCTCTGCATGTCTATATCTGCAAGAAACCTTGGCTCTGGGCTTCTCCCCTCCCAGAGAACAAGCCATGCCTTTTGTGTCAGACAGTACTTGGGGCCTTCGGGAACAAGCCTTTGAAAGCCCAAGTGGCCGCCCAGGGAAGTCGGATTTGTGCAGCCAGCCAGAATCAAACCCTCAGGAGTCACCTTCAAGCCTGTCCTGTGGGCATCAGCTCTCTTGGGGGGGGGCTGCCCAGCTTAGGAAGGATGCACCTCTAGCTCTCCCAGGAGAGACACATGCTGAGACTGGGGATGAAGGGCTCAGCCCTTACCCTGCACCCCACTTTCCTTGCCTGGTCACTCTCACCAGAACTACTGGGTGCCAGGGGTGCTCGACACCCACCTGGAAGTGAATGTACTGGCACCAGTGGCTCCAGGTCAGCATGCATGCACCCTGCGGGTGAGGGCTGAGACCAGAGGCAGGAAGGGTGATGAGAACGGGGCTGGTCCCAGTTCGCCAGGGCTTTTGTTTTGTTTTGTTTTGAGACCAGGTCTCTCTATGAGTTTAGGCTGGCCTTGAACTCACTATGTTGCCCAGGCTGTCATGGAACTCAAAGTGATACTCCTGCCTCAGCCTCTTGAGTACTGGGATTATGGGCCTGCACCACCATGTGGGCTCACCAGGGACCTTAGAAAAGGGTTCCTATGCCAGCGTTCAGGGAAATGCTCCCTCAACAAAACCTTAGGCAGGTGTGGTGGTGCAAGTCTGCAGTCTCAGCATGTGGGAGTCTGAGGTGTGAGGATTACTGTGAATTCTAGGCCAGCCTGGGCTGTGCAGTGAATTCAAGGCCAACCTGAATTATATAGTGAGCCCCTGTCTCAAGTCACCAACAGCAACCCTGAGTGCAATTTATCATTGCAGCCCGCAGCCCCCACCCTTACCCTGAGTCCTTACCCCGAGTCCAGGCCACAGGACCTTGGCTCTACCCCAAGGTGGGCTGAAGCTTCTACCTTGGCTATTTTAAAGAAGATACTGAGCTTGGCATGGACCCTGGAGTTTACTCGGTGAAAGACCAAGGCATACCGGCAGCCTCAGTTTCCCCCCTAAATAGTGCACTTGCCCACCCCTCTGGCTTGCTGTGTGAGCGAGCAGAGGGCATATGCAAATCTCCTTTATGGTGAACAGAGATGGAGGGTGCAGTCCCCAAACTCTCCATGGATGACCTCCCTGATAATCCCCATGGGGCCCTTAGGGTTAGGACTCGTGATCCCTGCTCTGCACGCGTGGAAAGTGAGGTTCAGGAAAGTGAAGCCGAGGTGCCCAAGGCCACCAGACTAGCAGAGGAGGTGTCTGGAATGGGCGCACAGCTTCAGGGTCCAGAGTACCAAAGTGGGGCGCAAACACCAATCCATGTGGAAAGCTGTCTGGTTTCTGCCTTTTCCTGGCCAGGGCAATGGGCTCCATCTACTCATCCCAGATTTCCAGGGAGCCAAGACGAGCACCCGCGCACCCCGCTCATCCTGCGCCCGGCTCACCTCGCGTATTTCGTCTTTTGGAAATCGAGCAGCCTAGGCGTGAACATCTCTGCGGTTCCATGGGCGCCCGAGCTGGGCTCCGCTCTGCTGAGATGCTGGGAACTTGGGGACCGCTAGAAGGGGCGCAGCAGGTGGGCAGCGCGGGTCAGGGCCGGCGGGGAGGGGGAGGCGGAGCAGAGCCAGGAGGCGCCGACCGGGATCCAGAGCCCGAGCTGAGCCCGAGCTGGCGGCGCCGACGCCAAATCCCGAGCAGATGGTGGCGGGGGCGGGGCGCGCGGGGGCTCTGGGCGCGCGTCACCAAGCCTGGTTGCGCCTCCTTCCTGCCCTCGCCTCCGGCCTGGAGGGCGGAGGATTGGGCGTCCCCTCCCCCGGGACAGCAGATGCTGCCCTGGGCTGGGCTGGAAGACAGAGGGTACACTGCCCATGTGGCCCCTGGTCTACTAGTGGCCACGCTGTCCCCAAGGGACCTGCCTGGGAGTGGCCACGCTCTCAGGGAAGCCTCCTCACATAGGCCTGCGTGGCTCCTCGCTCTCCTTGGTCAACTTTCCTCATCCCTTCCATCGATCTTCAGCCAAACCTAGCTATCTCTATGTGAGGGCTATGGGGAACCCATCACCTGCTGGTTGAAGTTTTTGACACTCTTGTGGGCAGCTGGAGGCCGGATGGCCTATGATGGGGAAGAAATGTTAATACTGCCTAAAGGGACCCAAGTCTGGTCCCCAAACTGAAAAGAAGACCTCTCCCCAGTTCCTATTTCTATTTCTACCATTGCTTCACTTGAGGTCCGGCTAAGCACTGGAAGATCGGCCCAAGGGAGCTAGAACAAGAAGCAAGAAGATCAAAGGACCCCACCTCGTTCACTCCGATTCCAGATGTGGCCCAGGGCAGGCACACACTTCCATCGCAGCAGGGTGAGAAGTGGGGTGTCTGGGATGGAAATGGAGAAGAAGGAGGGGTTCAGGGACTCTGAGGAGGTGGGACCCACCATGCCCAGCAGTGGGCTAGAAGTGGGGAGAGGGAGGCGCAGGAGTCGAGGGTTTCAGCTGGGCCCAGTAGGTGACTCTCTGTGCTGCTCAGTGAGGAGAAAGGAAGGAACCCAGAGGAAAGAGGGGGTGGGTGGGGAAGGGACAGTCATTAGTTAGGTCTCAGCCAGATAAGCTTGAGGTCAAGGTCAATGTGAAACCAAGACCAGGGCTAGTGTGGGCTAGGGGAGCAGACAGGACGGGAGCCCCACGCAGTGAGGCGCCCACCCACCTATGATGGGGACAGGAGGACCCTTCTAGCTTGGGTTTCAGCTTGCTCATCTTGACCAACTTGAGTTTCAACTTCCACCTGAGAGCCACCAGCCTCGGGGCACTATTGGCACTGACATTAAAATTAGCACTTTAAATGCAGTTTCTCCCCTACACCAGGGAGCCCTGTGTGGCTGTGGGTGTGTTATGGGCTCTGCGCATCCATGCAGAGAGTTCTGAGGGCCCGGCACCACGAGATGGTGGTGGGAGCCAGGTGGGTGAGAGAAGTGCTTGAAAGGAAATGGAGTGGAAGAGACGGGATCTGTGCATGGCAGGAGGGCATGGTTAGTTGGGAGACGCTTGCCTGGGGGGTGGGGGTGGGACATGGGGGTCACACGCACCTGTGTGTCCTGCTGGGCTGGAGATGGACAGGTCAGCTGCAGCTCAGGGCCAGTGCCTCCTACCTCTTGGGTAGAACAGGGAGACCAGGCTGAGGGAGCCAGAGACCTTCCTAGTTCCCAAGGGGAACCCTAAGGGGACATGGCCATCTGGGGCAAAACCTACCTTGGAGCCCAGTTCAGAAACTTAGTTCATTGCCCAACGCATGACTCCAGAAAGTCCAGCAAGGTCTGAGTTGCAGGGGATGGGAACCCAGCAGGTGGGACCAAGCCAGCCTCTCCTGGCTCTGCCTGACCCCAGGCCCAGACTGCACTCTGACCCACCTGTTCTCAGTCCCCAGCTGCATTTCCCAGAAAGGTCCTTGCTGGATTTGCAAAGGGGAAAAGACCCCTTAGTGTCCCCTCTGTTCTTGGGGAGGTCAGACTGGCTCAGAGTGGTCATGGATGGACACAGCTCCCAGGAGGCTGGGACCAGCCTCCCTAAGGTGGTTGGCTTCCTGGCCAGACTACCGTCCGCCTCCAAGCACATCTCAGCAGCAGGCTTTGCAGGGTCCCGGAGGAGACTCCTGAAAGGAAAGAGCAGCCTAGACATGGATTTGCCTTTTCTTCACCAGCTAAAGAAACTGAATAAAAATAAGTTACTATTTTTACTCCTGAGATTGGTTGGTATGGCAACAGAGGGCCTGACTCCTGCTCTTAGAGTCGAGGTTGGGCTGCATCAGAGAAGGGAGGCAGAGAGAGGTAACTGGAGGGACACTGAGTGGCCAGAGGCCTGTCCTGTCACTCCCCACACCCACACATACCAGAAATCCCCTCTGCCTACCTGCCCTTCCTCACGGGCTTCCCTGATGACTTGATCCCAGTCTGGCTGTATGACCTCAGGTTGGGCCCAGTCATGTCCGGGCAGCCTCTTCTCCACTCCTGGAAGTGCTACAGCTCAGCTCAACAGATCAGCAGTCCCAGGCCCACCTGGCTGAGAGCTCCTTCTCTGCTTCTGCACCCTGGGAGGAGCCCACACCCACAGCTAGGCCAGGTCGGTGGTGGCTGAACAGCCTCCACCCTGGTTTTGTGTCCTGAGCCCCATTCTGGGCTCTCAAGCTTTAGTTTCCCCACTTGTGATGTAGAGGAGATAACCCCCCCTCCCCGCCCCCGACAGACTGTAAAAGGGACCACAGAGTCCAGAGTGGAGCACTGCTTCTCAGAGCTTGTGGTTGGGGTAGGCTGAGCCTTTACCTAGAATGCATGAGGCCCTGGTTGTGATTCCAGCATCTCTGAAAAGGGAAAAAAGCTTATCGCTTCCCCCCAACTCTCTCTGGAAGCCCACATGGTGGGGTAGTGCTGTTCTGCGGTTAGAGACCAGGAATCTGGGGGTCCTCAAGGTTAAGAGGTGCTTAGAGCCTTACAGCCCCATTAGGCATCAATGTCCACAGGGCCCTAGAGCCACCTGTACTAGGGACATCCACTGACTTCCCAGTGACTGGGGAAAAGCAGGTATCAAGATAAGCCAGCTCCATCCCAGCTCCTGAGCCTTCCCCAGAACCCCTGCCCACATTCCCAGCCCCAGTCCCATGAGGTCTATCTCTGCCATCTGTCCCTGGGGCCCCTCTGCACACTTTGACCTGCTTCTCCTCTTTGTGGTTTTAATCCCCAATCACCAGGTATGAAACGGGCACCTATTAGACACCTGGCAGTGTCTGGGAGCTGAGAGGGACACAGAAAGTACAGTTCTTGGCTAACAGGAACTTTGCATCTAGAATGAAAGAAAGGACATGTGACAATTGCAAACTGTTTCTTCATTCAGGATTGGAGTTACTGTCAGATGCCTGGCTCTTTGCAAACACTGGCCCACCTGTAAGCTGGACAACTGGACAATGATTTCCATTTGATGAGAGGGCAAACTGGGTAAGGCCCGGAGACAGGTGGCCAGTGACTAGCAAGAAGGGAGTCATGTCTCAGGTGGGCCTCCCTCCAAACCCTGACTCCCTTGTGGCAACCGGGCCTCTCCCTGCCGGTATGGCTGGGGACTGAATACTGCCCTTTCCCCTGGGACTCACAGGTGAACCAAGGAGATAGAGCTGGTGGAAGCAGTACCCACGGGTCGGGCAAGGTCTTCGGGGATGGGTGACAAAGATAAACACAGCTGGACACTGGTACGAGGCAAGGACAGATTTAACCGGTAGTAACAATTGCAACAGAGAAGAATGCTTCAAATCAGCACGGAGGTGTCCCAGTGCTTTTAAAGAAAGGGGAGCGGGAAAGGGTGCGGTCACAGAAGTGAAGAGTTACAAAAGGCACACAGAAGGGGCTTAGGTCATCCTGAGACCAGGCTTATCAACATTTGGCTCCTGCTCTCTCAGGGCAAGGGACAAACTGTTCTTCCCGCCCAGCTGGCCCTGAGCTTTCTCAGGAGACACTGGGGTGTGAGGGGCCAGGCATGGGCCTTGACCCATAGCCCAAGTCCCATAGTTCCTCTGGGAACTATGTTGGTGTTTGTTTCTTTCCTTGTAGACAAAGGTGGAAGATGGCCAAGAGGACTTTTTTTGTCAGGGAGTGGCCACAGGAAGGGACACAACTTCATCTAGGGGTTAGGGATGGGAGAAAGGCAGGGAAGTCTGGTGAGCAGAGTCTTGTAAGATGGAAGGGAGCTGGTCAAGGTGGGGAGAAGGCAGCCAGATGGGGAACTGCATTCCAGGCAGTGGGAACAGTATCAGAGTGTGGGCAGAGGGTCAGAGGCATGGGGCATCGTTGGGTGACAGGTCCTGCTGGTCCTGAAATTTAAGTGAGCATTTGGCCTCCACTGTCTGGTGTGCAGAAGATGAACAATTTTGAACAAGAGGAGGAGGGGGAGTCAGGCTGCAGTGGAGGATTCTGCCTGGTGCCTGGAGAAGGCAGTGCCATTCCTTCTAGCAGAGCAGCAGGCTCCCAGCTTCTCGGAGACAACAGGGAACACAGTTTCTGGGGAGCAAACTCTGGAGGCTCCGAGAGGGAAGTAGAGGGGCAGATTTCCAGCTGAGACTGTTTCTTAACAATAATTTCATCACATCTAGGGTACCATCAACTCCAATATGAACTTTCAGGTGTTGCTACAAAAGATATATTCCTGGCAATTAATTTCACTGGCATTTTATTATGAAAAATTTCAAGCATTCAGAAAACTTTAAAAGACTTGTAAACAAGGTGTGGTGGCCCACATCTATAATCCCAGATGTCTGGGGCTGCTGAGGCAGGAAGATTGTCATAAATCTGAGGCCAGCCTGGGCTACAAATTAAGACCCTATCTCAAACAAACAAACAAACAAACAAACCCACAAAGAACTGCATAGCTGAACATGGTGGTGCACATGCGTAACCCCAGCAGAGGCTGAGCCAGGAAGACCACTGAGCTGATATCAGCCTGCACTACACAGTGAGTTTGAGATAGGAGATTAGGGAGTGGCAAAAGCTGGCTGGAGAAGGAGGTGTGACCTGTTAATTTCAAGACCAGGGACACATGTTTAACAGTTCCCAAAGCCCTGCATGTAGACTTCTCACAACTCTAGCAGGTTTTCCACAGGATGGCCTAGACCTGACCTCAGCCTGAGGTGCGGTATGGGATCCCAGCACACCTCTCAGGACCAGATGTGGACGTTCTCACAAGACCCCCTGAGATTTGGACAGCATAAAGAACTGAGCAATGCTGCCATAGCCTTCCAGGATCTCCTGCGATGTTTCCCAGACACAGCGAGTACTTTTATCTTTGCTCCTTCTCTTTTCTATTTACTCGTTCTGAGCTCACTC